TCTCTCTCTCTCTCTCTCTCTTCCTGTTAGGAAACAGGTGGAAACAGGGAGGAGAGGAAACGACAGGAGGAAAGACAAACATTATACAAACAGTGCCGACTGCTGAAGAAACAACTGATATCAGCCGCACGCTATGGGGGGGGGGGTTGNNGGGGGGGGGGGGTTGATTATTATTTAGGTTTATGTTTCCCGCTCACAGGAGTACATGTACCACTGTACACACATAAAGCTTTATATTAATGGATCAATAATAAGGATTCATTGATTAGTTGTCAACTCTTTAGATAATCGAGTCGTTTCTGCTCCTTAACTGTGAATATTTCCTGGTTTCCTGCGTCCTCTGACAGTACACTGAGCGACCCGATTGTATCTGAATGTTATTGAGTAATGTCACAACGAGCAGATTTATTAGATTCCAACTGAAGCTGATTATTGTCTGTAAAATAAAATTATAAAGAAAATTGTTTTATAAGAAAGGCGTGATATGATTTCCCTACAGCCAAAGTAGATTAACTTGTTTTTTTCATAAAGCTACTGAGTTTAACTCGTATAAGACAAAGAAAAGCATCAAATGTGTAAAAGTAAATGTTTGGTTGAGGCTGTACGTTTGATTCAGATCACGTCTTTAGAATGAGAAACAAACAGCAGCCACTTCCTGCTTCATCACTGATCTACAGTGTTTATGACTTTATAATCCCACAGATGATTTATAAAGTCAAAGTAGTTCAGTTCAAACCCATCTGATGCTCCTGTGGATGTTTCACCCCTTTACACTTTAACCTACTGAGTTAAATGTCATGTTGTTTTTAGGTTGAAGACATTAAGACGTCCTTGATTGACCGTTTGACCCGGTCTCACTTCCTCCTCCGTATGATTCATCCAGTTTCTGTTCTTCAGGCTCTTCGACCCAAATAGAAACCAGTCAGCGTGTTTCGTGTTTACTCACGAGAGTCCATTTCTGTTGTCGTGGCTGCGCTCGTTCAACAATCACCACTCGGTGTACAAACTGTATTACAGGAGGAGACGTCGGCTCTTAACACACCAACGGGACGCACAACACTGTCCTCCATTTTCATAGTAAACAGCATAATGTTACGCTCTGTTGCTCTTATACACTGTACATGTTTTAACCTTAAACGGGTTATTACACTTAATGAAGCACTGCTGCACAAATGAGTGCGCACTGCTGTTTTTGGGAATGGCTGCTGTTGTTTCTGCTCATCGATCCAATTCTTCATCGATGTGTAGACAGAAAATAGACCCGTCAGCTGTTCTAATAATACAATATGTCTGAGTGTGTATCCATGTATGTGACTCAGGTGTACAGAAGCTCCACTGTTGTAAATGCTGTTTAATGTGGAACCGGTTCTCCGCTGTGTGACTGCCTCTGTTGTTATAATAAAGGACATTTACCTCGGTCCCGGATGTGCTGCTCGGTTGGGAAGCAGTAGAGTCAGATACATTCCTGGAGTTTAAGACGAGAAGGAAGTACATCAGGGTAGGTGGTTGTTGTTGTTGTTGTTGTTTATTGGTGCAGACAGGCGGTCCAGTCTTTTATTGTGAGAAAGTTGAAACTGGTTGGTCTAATAACAGAAGAGATTATGAATCTAGACAAAGGTTATTGAACCGTAAACAGTTTGTAAACCTACCGATGATAAAATGACACAACTGAAACTTAATCAGTAGAGCAAATACTCATAAACTACTGGAGCTGCTGAATGAATGTGTGTATCATATACACAGTTCAAACATGTGGAGGGTTGAGGCCAGCTTCACTGAGACTCAGGAGGTAGGTAGAGGAAGGTGACAGTAAGGGGATTTTCCACAACACAACCGCCGGCATCAATAAAAGGAATTCATAAGCTCGGAGGCAATCCAATCAGTTTTAATTCCCATCCCTAGTCAATGAGTTTGCCACAGCATGTTGCTGCAAATGTTTCACAATAAAAGCCTTGTTAAGAACTGAAAGTCTGTCTGCTGAAGGACAAACTACAGCTGGCTAGTTATCTGGCTGAAACGAATGGGCTCAGTCTTTATTAACTTTCCAGGAAGTCATTTCACAAACTAGTTTGCAACATTTGACTTCAGTCTTTGTGCTTCTTGCCTCTCTGACACACGTCGCTTCAGAGGACATCGGGTGTGTTCAATGTGCCAAATGTGGCCCAGACCACCTCCGAATGTGGTCTGAGAGATCAGATCTCAGCGTGTCCTCGATGCATCTTCATACCTGCCCTCGCGGTCGGCTCGCTTCATGTTCACCGAGGTGCAAACAGCCTTAAAGACGCAGCCTCAGAGGTGTTAACTGACGCCGTGTTTGAACCATTTATCTGGTAATGACGCCACTTAAAGGCAACTTAAAGTCCCTTAAAGGTGAATGACAAGTGTCTGTGGGCGTCAACCCGACGCACTGAGTGTGATGATGAGCGCTGAAGTGTTTGTGCAGAGGAAGTGTAGTGAGGAAGTGCCGTGGACTAGAATTCAGACTGTGTTTCTCTGAGTCACTCTGAACGTGAAGTTCACTCTGGCTGTTGTTCGGCTGATGAATAGCGGCGGTTTTTAGGTCAGTTTGGTGTTGAAATGCCTGAATCAGCATGAAACTGTCTCTGTGTCAGTGAGAAACACACTGAACTCTGACCAGGAGGAAGGACGGTTTCCTTAATGTACAGACCACATTTTCTCTCCTTTTGATCCGTCTGCACCTTTTACATTTACATACAGGATCCATCTTATGGTTCCAGGTTCTGACCCACCAGATAAAGTTCCCTGAGGAAGAATAAACATTCAATTGTGCCTCATTTTACACGAGTAGGTGCGTTTGGCCCTTGAGATGTAAAGAGACGTCGTAGTAACATTACATAAACAGACTTATTTGTCGTCTGTGGCAGCAAATGCCTCACACACCGGGTTACACTTTCACAACTAATAACTAATTCACGACATTTGTTGGATCTGTGTACCAAACATCTGGAGAACCTTTATTAACAAATTACAGCTGCATATTGCACATAATATTTAGAATAATTGTGCAGCCCTAGTGAAGTTAAGGACGTCCCGTTGTCCCGGAGACAATAAAAATACGACCCGGGACAAAAAACAGACAATTTTGGGACAATAGAGAAATGTATTATTACCAATGAAATAATTATGTTCATGCGAATGGAATATATATATATTTTTTTATTTAATTACGGTGCTTACACACACAAATCAATCATAGGAAGAATTATTGTGTTAGTCTGTTCTCATAGCTTGTATGTGAATAAATGTAATCTCCCTCCGTTTGTAGTGAGTTTGGGATTATTATTTACGGTTGCACGACACTGAGGAAAAACTAGTGATTAACCAATAGTTAACCAATAGTTAACCAATCAACCAATAGTTTCAGTGTTGATCTCAGTCTTTAGATATTTTTATAATTCTCTTTAAAAGTTGTCGTTTCCGTGCCAACAACAATCTAAAAGTATTTGATTTCCAACTTCTGGAACATTTTATGAAACCACTTTTATGCCTATAAAATATTATGGGACAGTAAATGTCACCACTAAAACCTAAACTATTCGGATCATCTGAAGAACAAAAGAATAAATAAAGGATTCATTTGCAGGAAAACAACTCAGCGCCGCACACAGGGCACCGTTTATTAGCACGCGGTCCGCAGCTGGAGTTCAAATGATCCCATCACATACAAAACACTCAGTTCTTGTCCAGGCATGAAGCTTCCTGTCAGGTCCAGGTGATGCAGTCTGCTGTCACAGGGGGACGGGAGGGTCTGTTTATCTGAGCTGCCGTCCCCGCAGACCGTCCTGCAGCAGGTGGATCAGCCGCCACCGCCGCCGCCGCAGTCGCACCATTGACGTTTATCCGCCTGGAAAGTTTTGGAAGCAGCCAGCCGAGCGTTAAAGCGTGTTTACATGCAGCCGGCTGTTTTCTTACAGAGCTTATTCCCACTGCAGCCGGTTAAAGCTCGCATCACACTCACGTAGGGGAAAGTGGATCTAACGGCGGCGGTTGGTCTGCAGAGACAAAGATCACGTCACGCCGGTCTCGCAGGTTCAGATCTTGGCTCAGGTCTCAGGAAGTTTAGTCTCTTTTTCTTTTAAGTTTGCATTTTATTATGCAACTAGAGCTGAAAGGGTTTGTTTATTTCTTACAGTTGATCCATTTTTTAAAGGGTTTTCTCTGTTTTATATCAAACTGACATTTTATACGCCCAGCAATTTATTTATTTATCAAGAAAATAATCCGTAGTGTCGACAATAGGTGCTGCTGTGAAATGGTGTTTGTGGGCGTCGCTCTCTTCCGGGATTGGCTGATGTCCAGAGCCTCACTGATGCTGGACTTTTAAAGCCGATATCAATAAGAAACACGTCAGCTCATGTTTGTTCATTGACATAAATCCATAACAACATTATGAGTTTGTTTGCAGATATAGAAAAGTCCCATTGGCTTTTTGTTGAAGGAACCAGGACGATTGTAGCTAACTTCACCACTGCAGCTGTCTGTAGTGACCCGGATGTGTACCGACTATTCTACAATGGAAAACTAATAGATAAGTAACAAGATGCCAGGTCAGCAGAGAAATGGTTCAGTTATCTAATCACAACTGATAGAAGACTGTAGCCGTCCTGTGGCTACCCACAGTTCGCTAGCTAACGTAATTTCAGGAAGTCGTTTCTGTTTTTCACCAACAGATCCGGGAGGAACTTGAGGTTTAGGAACTACCTTCATTTTTACCACTGTAGCTCCATAACTGCGATGTAAAGGCAGACGGGGGGGTTGTGGCAGGACAAGTTCAACCAGTACAAACAGTTGAACCTGTTTTTAGAGGAAGAGGCCTGCTGTTTCTGTATCTGCCTTTACTACCCAAACGTTTATCCTGTTGGTGGATCTGTGATTTAAAACGGACTAAAACAGAGCGAAAGTACCAAACTTCAGTAGAAATGTGAGATTCCTGCGGAGCCGCTGATGTTCGGTACTGTGAACTGTGAGGGTTTGAGGCTCGTCCACTGGGATTATGATCATAACGATGGTTGTTTGAATTCTCAGACTGGGTGGGAAGAGTTGATGACAACCAGTAATTACAGTTTTCACCCCGAGTCTCTTCAAACACAAACACAGTGGAGTTTACTACAGACGTATGATGAAAATCTTTGCCGGTATTTGGAAATGTTTCACTTAATTGCAGCAGCAGCGTGATGTGTAAGTCCGTGTCCTGATTTACTGCTGAACAGCACCGAACGAGCTCAGGTTACTGACATCATACGGAGGAAACACGGGGAAGTTTTAGAAGAACATTTTCAAACATCTTAGCAGTTGATCTGCAGCAGGTGGATCTTTTTAAAAGCTTATCGTCGCCTCGACTGAAACCAGTTTCTGTAAATATCAGGAGGAAGAAGTCTGCTCCTCCACTCTTCAGTTTCAGGGTTGCAGCAAATGTTTTATGATCTGTTATTTTATTATCGATCAATGCACTAATTGCTACCCAGAGCCAACCATTAGTTCAGTGTCAGTTTGATTAATGAATTACATTCATAACTTGCTGAAACCTGCAGAAACCCCGTTACTGGCTGCACCGATACAAGTGCTTACATTTGGGTACATTTCTGATAATGTGAACTAACGAGAGGTTGTAACGTTGCTGTAAAGTAACACTGAAGCAGTTTTCTGATTAAATGACCTGAAACTGGTACGATTGGTGTCGGTTCATCCCAACTCCTCCAACCAGTTTAACTGACAGCAGAGTTTAGATAATTAGTGGATTGGTTGAAGAATAGTTTTAGTAATTATCATTAATCTTTGGTCATGTGAGGATTTGCTGCTCGTATCTGTTTTATATCAGTAATCTGAATACCTTTGGGTTTTGGACTGACATTTGAAGACGTCACCTTGAACTCTGTCTTACTGTCAAGTAAATAATCAGCTAATAATCAATAATGAAAGTGATCCAGAACCAACCCTGACCCCCCCTCCCCCTGTGCAGTTACAGCTCAGTGTTTTTGTGCTTTTTGGACTCGTAGCTGCAGTTAAAAACACCACAGTCATAAACAAGCATTTAGTGCCAAAACTGGAGCCACAAAAACTTGTAAATCAGTTTTAATTTGTTTTCTTTGAAGTGCTCTAAATATAGCGGCGGTGTGGAAAGGATCAGGGGCTCTGACAGGAAGCAGCCGTCAGCTGGAGCAGCCACTCTGTTGTAAACACTTTACTGGCTGCTGAAACAGTTCAGATGCCAACGTTTCCAGCTCTGCTTCGCCAGCGCCGCCTCCTTCCAGCAGAGCTCTGATGTTTGAGTTTCTCCTCGCCATCTCGGCCGGTTTTTAACCGCTTCACCTTCAAAGCGGAGCTGTGAGGAAGAGAAACCGCTGTATTTGTTGCTTCCTGTTTGTGTGTATTGGCAGCTGTTGAAGGAAGTGACCATTTCGCACAAATGCTGCAAACCTGGAAGGTTTCCGCCCTGTTAGCACTCTCTGTATTACTCTGTGATGAAGCTGTAGGATGATGATTGAAGCCATAATCCTGATGGTTTTGATCAATACTGTGATCACAAAGAGGATTATAACTCTATAGCCATCAAAAGATGAACAGTACTCGAGTACTCTGTGGCTTTTGAGCAAAGCTGAGTCGTGTGTGGGTGTTAGGTCTTGACCTTAAGGAACAATATGATAATGAAGACCATGAGATTAGATTGAAAGCTGCTACCCTGCAGGTACAGCTGTTAACCCTTTAATGCATTAACCCAGTTTCACTGCTGCTGTCTTTATCCAACCGGGCCTGGCGCTCCATCCGTCTCTTCTCTCGTCTTTGAGCATAAAACAACCTGAGTGGGAAGTTGTGGATAAAACCTGAAACAGACGTTAGTGAATGCAGCTTTTTTTATGTGCATAAAACAGGGCTGCACAATTAATCACAACACGGCCAAGTGAAAGATCCAAGTTGCAGAAGCGGCAGTTTTTTTTGCTAAAGGTGAAATGTGATATATATATTTATATATATATATATAATGAAATACTGCAGTGCTGTACATTTTGTTCTCCAGATGTAAGAAAACATGTCCAACAAATTATATTCAAAACTGTACAGTGAACTCAGTAACTGCAGGACGTTAGTGTAAAACCAGAGATTTCAATCAATTTAAACAGATTATTTCCTTTTTAAAGAACTTTTTATACAATTATTTGTCTGTAGTATTGTATTTATCATTTTTAACTGGGTAACAACCTGCACCTGCCACCATTAAAGCTCTGTGGTGACGTCCCATAAAGGTCATACAGCTTCCTGCTGTGTTGAAATAAACAGGCCGAGTTTGAGACATTTCCTCACATTATTTTGATAAAATATTCTCGCCCACGCAGACGGTTCACGATCACCTTTCACCCAATCAGTCTGAAACTCGTTCAATTACACCAGAATAAATGAGTGACTAACATCACTTCTCTTCTGTTCTTCTTCCTCTCTGCTCTGTCTTCCCTCCCTCGTCTTCCTCTTTCCACATTTCTCAGAGTTTTCAAGAAGTCGAGCCCCAACTGTAAGGTGAGTCAGTTGCTTTATTTATCCTGCAACAACCGACACTGTGACCGACGGCCGGAAATATAAAGTATTCACATATCGTACTTCCTTCATCAGTACAACGACCTAAAATGTCAGATACAGGAACTGTGTGGGGTTTTCATTGGTGGGAGAAGCACTAGAAGTAGAGATACTGTGTGTCTATACTTCCTACTGTTCTCAAACATACTGAATCACTTTACCTACATTTATATTTATCGCGGTCGGTCTGAATCGTGATTAAATGTTCGTCACGTTGAAAGAAACGAGAGAAAATGAATGAAAGGAATCTGACGCTGTGGTTGGTTGTTGCAGGTGACAGTTTACCTGGGAAAGAGGGACTTTGTGGATCACCTGGACCACGTGGACCCAGTAGGTGAGTCAGCACATCTGGAGGTTTGTATGTTAATATTTAAGAGTTTTTAAAGCGATTGAAGTCCTGGAAAAGGTTATGGAAGTTCAGTGTTTGCTTCCCAGGACTCAAAAGGTTTGGGATTTAATGACTGAATGTGAGAGCCTTTAGCTGGAGCAGGTGTGTCTGAGAACTTGAGCAGGTAAAAATCTGAGTTTGTGGAACGGTGTTGAACTTTGTGCTGACACGGCGGTTTGTCTTCCTTCCTGCCGACAGATGGAGTGATCCTCGTCGACCCCGAGTATCTGAAGGACAGGAAAGGTAGGACGGCTTCCTCCTGAACTCTCAACATCAGAGGGCTTTTTAAAAAGGCTCATTGTGAAGTCTGAGAGCCAAACATCCAGCAGTCTGTGGTCTGAACTGGGCTTTAGGTCTCTGGTCCTCCTCCCGGCGGTCCAAAGCTCCGGTGCGACCAGCGTAAACACCAACACTCCCCCGGTGCTCCGAGCACTTAGGCCCGTTTGGTCTCCAGATGGACATTTTCTCCATAAAATAAGATCCAGTTTCACCAAAATCAGTCACACAGCTGGTGGTTGCTCACTGGTTCTGACCCGAAAAAGTGACACAGTGCGAGAACAGAGGAACCCTGTTACGACTCAGTGTAGCATCAACGTGTTAGTCTGTTATATTAAGGTAGAAAAGTTACATAATGTTACTGTAACAGCCAGAATCCCTTCGCTGCCTCTCTTATCGTCTCTTTAACCTCCGACTGATGAATAAATGCAATAACTACGATATCATCATAAAACTTTATGTATATTTATTTATAATACACTTTTCCAGGGTTCCCAGGACAACCTGGACATTTAGGGACTAGTTTTCAGTCATAACAACACCTGGAAAGTTATTAAAGTGAAATAATCTCTGTTGTTCTGGAAATGTAGTCCCAGATTGCCTACGTAAACCTGGGGGTGAATTTAGTTTGTTGTTGTTGTTGAGGTCGATAAATACAAACACAGTAACATGAACAATGAACACATAAACTGTTACGGATGGGAAGATGATGTGTTAGTGCAGTTTAGTTTCAGTTCAGAGTTCTCCGCTGATGTTTGAAGGCAGTAAAAGAGGAAGGACGAGATATTTATCTGCCGTCCTTCACGTTAGAAGAAGAGCTGGTGTTATTTGTGAGGACTTGAGGAGGACGAGCTGTAGCCGTCAGAGAGCAAACACTTAATGAGGTTAATGAGGCCGACTGTGGTGGAAACCTGAAACCTTCCAGATCCGTTCAATCTCTGTGGTTGAGGTTCGATACCGAGAGAAACAACAGTGTCTCACACAGGACGAACTCTATCAAACCCTTCCACTCGTAGTTTCATTACTCTGTGCTCACTTAGAAACTTTATTTAAATGAATACAAATTAAATTGCTCTTCTTATTTCAGAATAATTTAAATTCAAAAACAAAATCACAATTAAATCAAATAAACCTCCAATAAGTTCTAATGAGCCCACACAATTTATGTTTCACATAGATACAGTAATAATTCTCTTCCTGCTTCTATATATCATAATAATAATAATAATAATAATATCTTCCTCAGTAACCGTCTGTCCTCTTCCTCCCTGCAGTCTTCGTCACTCTGACCTGTGCGTTTCGATATGGCCGTGAGGACCTGGACGTGCTGGGTCTGTCTTTCAGGAAGGATCTCTACATCTCCACCTTCCAGGTTAGAGACTCAACTTGTGCCCGATAAAGTCTCTGAGCACTTTTATCTGACGGCGTTCTGTGAATAAAGAGTTTCTAAATAATACAATTATTATAAATTAAATCATTAAAACTGACTGAGTGACATCAGGATCCACTGAGGGGACGTTAACAAGATATCTGAATGTTATCTAACACTCTGTCTGTCTGTCTCTCTCTCTCTCTGTCTGTCTGTCTGTCTGTCTCTCTGTCTCTCTGTCTCTCTCTCTCTCTGTCTGTCTGTCTCTCTGTCTGTCTGTCAGGCCTTCCCTCCGGTCCCTGAGGAGAAGAAACCCAACAGCCGGCTGCAGGAGAGGCTGCTGAAGAAGCTCGGTCAGCATGCTCACCCGTTCTACTTCACTGTGAGTCTGCTGCTCTTCAACACGTCTGCTCTCTTCAGGAGGGTTTCCAGGAACACGTGAACCAGCTCAGGGTCTACAATTAGCTCCCGGCCCCCCAAAATAGTCCCTAATGTGGGAGGTGGAGCGCTCTGATGGTCCGGCAGTGGACGGAGATTTCTTGTGATGTCTCTGGATTGTAGCTGACCTCCAGATGTTAAACAGAGCGACTGAAGACAGATAGAGAGGTAGAGGACAGAGGACACACATTGAGGACCCGTTGGTTTTCTTCCTCGTGGTTTCAAAGATCTGATTGTAGATCAGTTTGTTGTTATTTTAGTGATTCATTAAATGTTTGAGCAGGATAAGCAGCAGTGCAGCGGTGAGACTTCCTGTGTTACGAGAGAAAAGGTCTGTGTTGCAACAATCCTCTGGTACTTTGGTCCCGGGGACGAGGAGCAGCTCCTGATGCACTGTAATGTTTAACAGGCAGCAGCAGCGAACGTCCGTCTCTCAACACACAATCAGCAAAATGAAATGACAGAAATCTCCCAGAAAGCCCAGCGCCGGTGGCCTCGTCCAACCCTGCTCATTTGGTTCTGTAGTTCCTGGAATGTTTTGGTCCAAAGGGATTAATCAATAACCTCCAAACACTCAGCAGATTGTCTACTTTGCATTTATTCAAACCCGGTCATTGAACAGTAAATACAAACAAACTGTTTGTGCTGCGAGAACTGCAGAGCAAACAGGATTCAGCACAAAGGCTCCGACTGTAGGCCGAGTCCACGCTGTGTTTCCCACCGTTAGAGCTGCTGTTCAGGCTCATTTCAATCCCTGAAGTCAGAGCAGATCCTGCAGACTGATGTGTCCTCTCTGGTTTCTGTCAGTGACCCGGGGTGTAACCTGCTTTTAGAGCAGGTTGATGTTTGTGTTGGAGCTCATTAGAGTCGCCATCGTATTCTCACTGAATGAATTACCGCCGTGACGCTCTGAGCTGCGGGGGGGTCAGTCCCAGCGGGGGGGTCAGTCCCAGCAGACTCCCGGTTAATGAGGAGCATCAGTGAACCTCTGCAGGTGTCTCTGAGGCGCCATTAACCTGCGTCACCGGGACTTAATCTGTGTAATTGAAGGCTGTTAGTGTTAATCAACCTCTCAGTGGTACGTTCACCTTCATCCCCTTTATCTTCATCACTATTCAGCCTCATGGTGGACACTGATGCTTCGTCTTCATTAGAGCTTTAGGTGTATTGTAGTATTTGTGGTTGGGAGTGGGGGCTGCTGGGAGGTTAGGGTAAAGGTGTTGAGTGTATGTGGGGTAAAACATGAAGCCTGGTTACTGAAAACAGTCCCAGCCACCTGTCACTCAAAGCCGCACACTTCATTCTGAAAATCTTTAAATCATTTAAAAGGGTGAGTTGTACAGTTGTTATGAACGGGGAAGTGAGCTCTAGAGACCCAAAGGCTGTAAACAGGTTTATTTCTGCTGTAGAGACATTTTAATGTTGGCCTCACTGCAGGAGCCTCTGGTGGCCGTCGGAGGAACTGAAGCTTTTATGTTGCTTTTATAAAAATACCTAAAAACAGGAATTGTATGTGATTGGATCAGAATATTTCCACAGATGTAGATGGCTGTTTAATATAGAGTCTGTATTCAGCAGCAGTCTGTTGTGTGACTGTGTTTTCTTCTTTCACCAGATTCCTCAGAACCTCCCGTGTTCAGTCACTTTACAGCCCGGCCCAGAGGACACCGGGAAGGTGAGATATCGAGTTAGATCACAATCAGTCATGTGACGTCTTTAATGTCGAGTAAATCTTCTGTGGAGCTTTTAAAAGTCGTCTTTAAAAACCACTTTGACATCAGTGAATCCAAACATTATTATTTATTTAAGAAGCACAGTAACTGAAGAGATCTTTCACATTTATCAACGTTTGTTTGTGTGTCTGTGTTTCAGCACAAAGTTAAATATCAGCAGGTTTAAATCGAAAAATGAAGTGGTTGTGGTGCTGAGTGTCTCTCTCTCTCTCTCTCTCTCTCTCTCTCTCTCTCTCTGTCTCTGTCTTCTGTCTCTCTCTCTCTCTCTCTCT